GTCGCTACGGTTACGGTTGCGTCGATTGGCCATGTGAAATCGGTAACAGTGTACACGGTTTTTTATCACAACCGTATCGCATATATTTTGTAATACTCACCTAAACGTGAAACGGGGGGGGGGGGGGGGTGCATACTGCTAAAATGTCTAATTCACCGGAAGTTATCGGTAAAGCAGGGAGAGTGTGGACAGGGACTATTATTGTCCGCACATGGCGGTGTATCGATTAAACGCATGTTTTGTTAACAGGGTTATTTTTTTGATGGATTTGATAAAAAAATAAGACCAACACACGCAGAATAGCGTTTACATTCAATAAAGACTATTTCGTTTTGATAAACATTTCATCTAACCTTGCGAGTAAGCCTACAATAAATGCTAAAGGGTATTAATAATGCGCGAGAAAGTTTTATGTGTTTTATAAATATTTTCGTTCAGTCATCTTCCGTAGTCAAACGGAGAACTGAAAATAAATGGACTGTTCGTGTCTTGAAAATCCTATTTGTATTGAATTGTTTTTTTCCTGCTCGGTGTATGTACTTTTGTGTATGCCAATTGTATGCACAAAAACTTATGTAGTATTATACGTTTTTCCAGTAAACCATATTGTACACAAATGTTAATAATATAAATCTCGGTATATAATTTGCTGTTCATATTTATATTCAAATAGTGCACAGTTCAGCATGAAGAATTACTGTGCAAATCAAAATATGTTAAATGGTAATCCCGGGTGTGAGTCGTTCGAGGGATTTAATGTGTTTGGTTTGAGTTCTCAAGAATCCATCTTATCTAAATCCTATCCTGATAAATCAAATAAATGTTTAAGATAGTTTTTCCTTAAGACATTGCTCTTAGGTTTTTTCGTTATTCAGATAATGTAGAAAATAAATAATATTCTGAAAACTTTGATATTATATATCAATATAATATATATGTATAATTTTAATAATAGATAGACCTAAAGCATACTTTACTCTACATTTTTAAATATTATTTAATTATTTTGCCTCAAATTCTAAACAATTAAATCCAATAATTTATAACTTCACAATGTATCAATAAGTTTTGGTGGCTTATCAGACCTATGGTGACATAAAACGAAATCGATGATACGTTGGAAACGAGTACATTATCTAACCACCTACATGAAATTATTATACTATACATTTTTATAAGTATCAACAAAAAGCATAATGTGATTAGTTTCTCTAAATTAGTTTAATAATTAGATATGATCACTGATTTTTAAGATAATAACAATAATTAACTACATTGAACTTTATATTGATAAAGTTTGTACTAACATCTTAGTTTATAATTAGGGTCTGGTTAGTCTGGTTTTCAATGCAATGTGCATATTTTTTTGATTAATCATACACAATTCTCTCTAAAAACATAATTTTTTTCATGTAACGAGAGTTTCAAAACTACAAATTTTATTTTGCATTTTTTTTTGCATATTTCGAAGTTTTTTCATTTTTAGAGCATTTTTAGTATTATTAGGTCATTTTGTTGGTTTTTAATGCATGTTTGTTCGATGTACTAAACAAATTTAACCTATTCAAAATAAAATCAAAAGACAAATTATTTTTTTGATATATAATTAGATTTATCGAGTTTTTCCATACACATTGTCAATCTTTATTTTTTGATTCAGTTTTTATCTTATTTTAATTTATTATAGATTATGGAACGTCACCAGTATTCAGTCAAATAACAAATAATCATTCATATCGTATTACATCGCAGATGTTTTTCGTATTACGTGTATTTTTGATTTTAATGTATTAAATAGTGTGTTAAATAATGCCTAAAAGAAAAAAAAATGTCATTTTTTTGGTCATTTTTGTGGTAAAATTCATTTTTTAAGGACATTTTTGGCTATTTTTAGAGCATATTTGTATGGTTTTCAGTGCATTTAAATTCGCGCCCTATTCATAAGTATAGGTTTGATGATATTCAAATATTATATTAAATTACACATAATATGTTTTTAAAAATATGTCATTCTTTTAGGTTATTTGCTGTGATAATGCTTTTGATAATGAGTTGTAATAAGAAGTTCCAGTAAACATTATTTAGGTATGAAATGAACTTCGTTAACTATATAATTTTATTAAACAAATAGCAGTCTTATACTGTTTGAAATGCTTTAACTCATGGGAAAGTTTAAAAGAAAATATAACGAACAATTATATCAGCGTATTTGTTGGATTATAATTTCTAGTAATTTGATGACACAAACTAGTATTTAAAGGAATGTATGTTTTAACTTGTGATGTATCAGCCTCGACAATAGTATATTAGTATATTAGTATATTATAGTATATATTACTTTTCTGTTGACATTTTTTCAGCACCTATTTAAATAAAACTTATGCCCAACAAAAAATATTGCTCAGATAATGTGCTCAATTTTATGAGAGTTTCGTTTTTTCCTTATGACTTATAAAACTCGCAAGTAGATAAAAATGAACGGAAAATAAAATTAAAAATGCTAACTAAAACTTATTACAAATATCAACCGAGACAATATAAAATGGATACAGGTCAATGTGTTTATTCATTGGTATACTTATAGTTATACATAAAGGTACTTGAAAATTGTATTCGAACTAAAAATAATATGAAGAGCAATAATTTTTTTAAAAACTAGTAGCTAATTAATTGGAATACATTATTTGAGTTACATTTTTTCTTTACGATTTAGTAAAATTTACATAATAATTCATTGAATGAGATAAGTCTATATATTATGAATATATTTTTAAAATAATAATAAATATTTACGTATCTATTTAGTAAATGATTATTAATTATATAAATAAATAAATAAAATTAATTTTTTATTTATTAATGTGCAATAACTTCAATACTGATATTGTGAAATTAAAATATTTAATAAAAGTTATTAAATATTAAAAGTATTATACGAGTATATAATGTTAAAATATATATTAATTGATAACCAATTTACTTAATACTATTTTTACCGAAATTCAATTATTGAAATATTTTATTATTATTAAGTTGTAAATATATTATGAACAGTGGTTCATGCAGTTTCAAATATTATTGTTGAGAAGATCTGTGTTTTTATTTTTTGTAAGTTTTATGTACCTATGCTGTTGATGTAGTTTTTTATAATTATCATAGTTATATGTCAATGAAAAAACTATTATTCAGAATACATTTTTACAAAGAAATATTTATTTATTCGTTTAAAGTCAAAATTAATAATAAATATATCTTAAAAGTACTTTAAATTATAATAGAAATATATTTAAAAATATAAATTTATTTGAATTAATTTTAACATGACAATTTTGTTATTATTATTAATCAATTCAACATTTGAAAAATTTAAATTTTTAAATCGAGAAGTATTTTTTTTGTTATAGTCTTATTTTATATTTTATTCGAAGGTATTATATTTTTAAGTAATGAAAATTTATAAGTAATTTTTAAAAATGAATTCTATAGCGTAGAACTAATTATTTAAAGTCAGAAATGTTAATTTTTTAAATTTTTTTTTAATTATCTTTAAATTTGTAGTTTTAAAATGTACGTTCCTTATGATTCGAAATTTACCTATAGAATATGATTTGTTATTTGCAATAAAAGGTCTAATGTATATTTTAATATTTATTCAAAACTGTGTTCATGGACGTGTTTTAGTTTAAAATACTTCTATTTTTGAATTTATTTAACTTTAATTAAACTCAAATAAGGAGATATGTATATTCTTCTAAAACTTTTGAAACGTAAACAGAAAAAGTAAAACAGAAAATCACTTAAATTCTCACTGCACAAAATTTCATTTACCCGTATAATTTTCAACTAAGTATAAGTTAATAGTGTAAGATTAAGTCTACATTTTTGACAGGAATCGTGTTTCCTATGTGTGACCTATTATTTTTTTAAATTAATTTATTTTTTTAACACTACATCACTTTTATTAATTTTGAATTGTTCAAAAAAAAAAAAAACTTTCAATATTCTTTATCTTGAAAAAATATTATTTTTTAAATGTGTATTATTTCTAGTTTATACAACTCATACTAAGAGTTGATTAGTAACTATTCTGTCACCTAATGTTATATTTATATTTAGTAAATAATTGATTTTTTATGTTATTCAAACATAACCTTTGTACAAAAAAAAAAAAAAAATTCTCAACAAGTTAGGAAAACAAAAGAAATAATTCCATTATATTTTCTAATAAAAAGTGCATATTAGAAAATTTGGCAGTTATTTGGCAGTTAAAAAAAAAAAAACACTAAACAGAAATTAGTTTTATGTATGCAGTCCAAGTTTAGAACAGATTGATAATCTTTTTTAACCAAATCTATATAAGTTGTTGTTAATACACGTTATTCATATGAATTAAACTGAGGTACATAAAATACAATGGAAGAATAAATAAATAATTGAAATCATTTAGTCTATAATTTTATGTTATGTTCGATATGTTATCGATAAAATATATATTGAATTGATATTTAGTATATCATAAAATCTGAGACATGTATATGAGATACGAGTACCAAAAAAAGTGATAACTCTTAATTTACCATAGATAAGATGGCTGTCCAATAATCAATTTATTACATATGGTTCATTAGAATACATAATTATTATAATATCTATTGTCACTCGTCACTCGGATAATGTTTAAAAATTCTTAGATATTCGTTTTCGTACAAATTAATTCAGAGTATTGCTATTACTAATGATCCCAGTGTTTATTTCAGATATTCTATCCTAAGGGGAATCGTAAATTTTCGGAAGGTGGTATGCGATATGCAGTATCCCATAGGAGTAAATAATTAATAAACAAACACATTTTTTCGGGGAGTAATACCCTTGTCATGGTCACCTCTTGAAATAAACCTTGAATTATGCCATTACTCTATGAGTGGTAACTTAACAGGATAAATGATGGACAATCATTCGCACGGTCGTTTTCTCGGTTGAACGATGATAACCGCACTTACCTATGGAAGCGTCGTAAATGTGCAAAGACTCGGACGTCATAAACTGACACACCAGTGACGTTTTGCCCACGCCCGTCGCACCTAACATCGCTATTCGGAACGGTTGTGTAATCCCTGGACAACTGGCGCAGCTGGACTCTCTGGACGAAGCCAACGATGTGCCGGCACTGGTTCTAGCCGAACCAGGATAAGAACCTCCACCTCCGCCGCCACCACCACTACCAACGATGCCACCCACTCCAATTACCGTGTAATTCGACGTGGTCAAGTGTTCGGTGCTGGAAACGAAGAAAAAATAAATGATTATAACAATAAAATAAATTAAGAACATAAAACATAATGTATTGTGGTTGAACCGCGAACTTGATAGTTTTTTTGTAAAAAATATGTTAAAATTAAACAAAATATTTTCATTTAAACAACTTGATTTTACCATTAGAAGTGTATGTAAATATAATATAATACGTTAGAATATTTATAATCATAAAATAATAATGCACATTATAGTTATAGTGTTACACAGTTATAAATAAAAAACTATATTAATAATGGTACGGTAGGTACAATATAAGTAGGTACACTATGGTACATTATGATAATATTATGATTTGTATTCGTTTCATAGCTGGTTTGAGTTTTTTTTTATCTAAGATTGTTACGAGCATATTATTTATTAATATTACCAATAGTTTAAAATTGATCGTAGAAGTACAGTTTAAAAATTTGTCGTACATAGATTTTCGTTTATTAATTATTCAACTGTACATGTGTGCGAGTTTTTATTTTTTGATGTCTGAGCTTACGGATTGTTATTGTCGAATAAAATAAAATACATCATCATATACAAGTGTTATTTAGCATAAATAGTTTTTTCGGTCAAGGAGAAAACGACATAATTGTGAATTATCCTGTTGAAATGATTATTCGCTAAAAAAAGAAAATCAAAGGTTTTCACGCTTTGAATATTTTAACAGTTTTTCACGTTAGAGGAAAAAGTAAATGCACAAATGAATTAATAAAGCAATAAAAAAAAATATAACTCCGTAGAATTGTATAAATTATTTTGTTATGGTAAAAAAAAAGTACGGCACTATCATAGGCACACCGCGAAGCGTAATCAGAGAAGGTTACATTTAATTGTTTTTTCATCTTTATTTAGGCGTATGTGTTTAAAAAAGTAAATAAAATATATTACGGGGAGGATAAACTTAATAACTAAATATTATAACAAACATTATATTGACTTGAATAAAATTAAGAATGAGAAAGTAGTTTAAGAAGCATTGAAAGCATTTTAACAAAATAGATGATATTCTAAATAAAAACGATAAAATGAAGATTGTAAAAAATTATCATTCAATTTAAAAGAGTAATGTTGTAAATTATTTAATTTTATTCGATGTATCTACCAACTTAAACATCTGTCAAATTAATTTCGTTTTAAATAAGTCAGTTTATGATTTATCGAAATTGAAAATTTTTAAATGATAAACTATATCATACGATTTCTAGTATCCACAGTAGTCATGCGTTTTTATTGTTAATATTCCAAGTTTGTGTAAGAATAAATATTTCAAAGTTCACTATAACAGTTTTAATAAATATTTTAAAGGCTCGTTAGCAATACATATATTTACCGAAATAATTTGAAATAAATCTCTGGTGTATAAAAAAAATAATGGCATTTGAAAATATTTTACAATAGATATAAAAATATTGTAATCATAAGTGTGAAAAAAATGTATGAAACGTAAACATTTTTTTTATTTATTTGAAATAAGTAGAAAACTGAAAAACAAATGCTATTCGTTTATAGAAAATCTTATATGTTATTTCGATTGTATATGCCTACGTATTAATTTATATAAAACCCAATCGCAATGAAATATTGTTTTGAAAATAAAAAAAATTAGAACTTTTATACTTATAATACATATTCATGTTACTCATTACGCAGTTTTTCTACAGTAATTTATCATGCTCATATGTGAAAACATAGTATCAATACATGTGATATGAATTTGTACAACTTAAATATATACGTATATGGAGTTTTACGTATTCAGTCCCATAGGATTTTTATTTGTTAAACCGGGAACAAATTACCGACATTTATTTTGAAAAGTTTTTGTTTTGCTGTTATTCAAATGCAAATGAATGAAAATTTGTTGGGAATTATGATTAATTTTAAATCTGAGTATTTGACTTAAAATAGATTAAATCGAATTCAGTGCTATAACATGGTATAGATTGATTATATTATTTTTTGTTGAAAGAATTTAATTCAAAACGATTGTTTTTATTTCTTTATATTAATTTGTTAAAAGGATTTTTAGCTATAGAAATATTAATTGGAATTTATTTTAAAATACGATAATTTTGTACAAATTATTGTATTTATTCGGTTTTTAGTTAATGTTAGAAACATTAAAGTAGTTCTTCAAGAAGCTATTAAAAACATAAACGTAACATATTAAGTCCAATAATTTTTTAATAAATAACATAATAATTTAAAATTATGTGTTCATACTCAAATCAAATTTATAATTTATATTTAGACGTTTAATGAAAAATTTTCAATTCTTATAGTTTTTTTTACACATATAAAAGTTAAAGAATATGAGAAAAACTGAAGTTCCAAATTCAAGTGCCAATTTAGTTTAGAAGGACCAATGATTTATATTATAATTAAAACTTTGGTTTACAAAATACCAATTTTTCTAAAGAAAATTAATTAGGTAAAAATGATATAAATAATATATTTCAAGCTGATTGGTGTGTTTTTCAACGAATTATTTTTGTGTTCTTTATTAACAGAGTTGCGCTCAGATAAATACTTTTTATCTAGATAAAGATAATATACCAAAAATATATGTAGATAAATATAAAAATAAACATAATTTTTTTTTCTTGAGATATTGGAAATGTATCTTAATTTTGATGTGTTTTATTTGTTTAGTATAAAAAATAGTAGATGAAAATTTGATAGGATATATTTATGTCTGAATCGTATCTAAGCGTTGACGTTGACTGTGGTAAGGTGTGGAAAAACACTAACAAACAGTTATTGGTGGTGTATATAGGTGCAATAGGTTTGCGCCGCGGAAGTAATGCGAAAACAGTTCCTGCGGCGTGGTTGGTTCAAACAGAAAAAAAAAAGGTGCAATAGGTTTATCCTTATAGCCGTTTAGTGCGTCACGATACTTTACAATTTCTTAATAAAAACTGAACAAGATGAAAACTGCTCCACTTGGATTAAAGGTTTTATTTTCAAAAACATTTTAATGGATTTTACCACGAAACAGTAGATGATGACGATGAAGATTGTTAGATGTTATCCATTGTACAAAAATATATAATTGTATATATTATATATGGTTATCCTTGGTGAAGCCCACAGATGTGTAATATAAATATATAAATATCTGCACTAAATAGTAACTACATACTCATTAGAGTATAAACGGTAAATGTATGTGTACGGCAGTTAACGGTTGTACACCAGAACCGACGATCGAATGGGCTATCGCTTATACGCACGGACGGTGCCCGACAAAGAATCCGATCGTAAAATAATTAAATCGTCCTATGGAAAGAAACCTGAGAGAGTGAGAGAAAGAGTGGACTGTATGGTTAGTTATGGAAGTGATGTGGATGAAGGTGAGGTAACCAACTAGAGTAATAAATAATAAATATAACAATTGCAAATTATATTAGATGATCGTAAAACAGAAGAAAATATATATCTCGAATTTATAGATTAAATGAGTCGACCACATATGGTCGCCGAAATAATAATTAATAGTAATAAAAGAATAACAATAATAAATAACAAATTGATAACGATGTACGACCTGGTAATACCAACGCAAAATTGAAGTTATGCAACGATATGGTCGATGGCCAACCTGTCGCAACAGTTGGAAGGTTCCTTGCCGCGTATGTAGAGGGCGCTGCTGTCACATGCGAATGAAAAATGTTGATTCGGCACTCGGCGATGATGTCACAAGGACACAAACCGAAATATGGGATTCCCAACCGTTCGGATGACGACATTAATGGCGCACACGACGTCGGCGAACAAATAAAACACTCGCGGAATGATGATAAAAAAAAAACAACTGTGCGCAATGCTAACACGAGCGCGACGATGGTGATCGGAAACTTCACAATCGCAACGAGAGCACGATACGTAAAAGGTTTCCTGAGGTCTTTCGATAATGAGAACGGAGTGGATGAGACGAAGACGGTCAAACCACGTGGCGCGGAGTGCTATGGGCGGCGAAATATATAACGAAAAAACACTAACGACGGAGTGGCGTACAGTGTACACGACGTCGGCGACGCACCGGTACAAACAATGGCGGATATGCTATTTTGCCTAGATGGCTACGTAAAAAACATGAACACAAGCACACGACGGTGATGATGAAGGCGCAGATGACCGACGACAGACCGGTCCTGGGAGCGAGTGGCAGGCTAGCCATCAGAAAACAGCACAGCTAACTACCCCCTCTCAAGAAATCGATCATGTTATCGACAAAGTTTGCAGGAGGCCAATACGCCGCGATCCTAGCACGACATTTGTACCCAACACTATGGGTAGTTTTTAAATGATATTAATTTTAAATACATATTTTCATTATTTAATATTTTTGTTGCAGCTATCCAGACGATGTGCGGCTTAAGTCCCAAGTTCTCGAAACATTCAAAATATTAATTAAATATTATATATAAAAAAAATATATCTAGTAAATTAAAATTAAATACCTAACTAAATTATTCATATAAGATAGATAAAGTTATAATTTGACTGATTAAATCTCAAGAAAATATTGAATAAGAATAATTATGGTTACAAGTAAGGTAGAAATATAAATTATAATAGGTAGATCTATGGGCACCCATTGGAGGGGGGGTACCTAACCTAACGGGGTACCCCCTTGAAAACATTTTGTAAACAAGTATTTATTTTTAAATATCATTATTGTCTTTATTGTTATTAGTATGTAGTATAGGAAATAAACATAAAATGCATAACAGTTATCGTATGGGCAATTTTTCATTCCTTACTTAGATTTTTATAATATCATCTGTGTTACGAAGATTTTCAAATGTAAATAAAACAGCCTTTCTATTAAGTTTACTGCATTCCATTTAAATTAATAACAATACAATTAATGATTTTAAAGAAAAAATAAATCTTATGAGTGTATACCATGAGATTGACAATATTATAGAGGAATCTGCTATTTGGTATCAATATTGGATTGATAAA